ATATAATATATATACACATTTATTGGAAGAAAAGTTTGTTAATCTGCTTCAAAAACAATCAGCCATTGAAAACTCTATGGATCATAGTTCCAGTCTGACACACCTGGGCTCTCCATGAGTCTGAATTGACTCATGGCATCTGGTAATATATATTTAAATTAAGACTGTAAAGGGATAGTATTCTGGTTACCTAGTGCCGCTCTGACAAGAATATACCACAAACAGGATGGCCTTAACAAACAGGAGTTTATTCTCAGTTTGGAGGCTTTAAGTCTGAGTTCAAAGTGTCAGGCTCTAGGGGCTGTATGAAATCCCCTCGACCTTGGGCTTCAGCTCTGCTTCTTGCTCCCGGCCCACTGGAGCTAGCGGCATCTCTCACTCAGGCAGCTACTGGCTGCTGAGGCTAACAAGCCCAAGGTGGACAAATAAAATGGCACAGTCCTGATGTTACCAAACCACACGGCAGGCCACTAATTTAAGTCCATCGTAAGTCCCAAGTTCGGCAGAGCATGGCAGGCTGCTGAACAACAACACAGCTACATGCAAGGTCCAAGCGTACCATAAGCTAGAGACCATTCCCCAAGGCTTCTGCTTATATACAGGAAGCAGACCACATTCCCTAAGACGGCTACTCAGCTGCTCACAGTAGGTTCCACCATGGAGTTGATTACCGTCTCATCATGGGGAATACTACATCCAGCTGCCCAGCTACTCAACCAGGCCCAGCCAAGTTGACACACAAACTGAACTACCACAGATAAAAAATGGAAAAATTTTAAATTTTCTTTAATCTTTTATCTTGTAGATTCCATCAAGAATCTGATTCCTCCCCCTTTTTAAAATCACTTCAGATTGTTTTATTCTTTTAATTTTTGCTTTACATTGAGGTAATTTGTCAATTTAGGCAAATTAGTTCAACTATGGAATGAATCATAATGCATCATAATGTCCTGCACCCTTTGCTTTTCCAGCTATTATGTGAAAAGCTTAAGGAAGGGTATAAACTGATGGGAAGGAATGAGATGGAGGGGATGGGATGGGATAGGGTGGGATGGGATGAGATGGGACGGTAGGTGATGGAGTGTAACGAGGTGATGTTGATTCCATTGCAGGCATGATCACCCGGCTCCGCCACCCTGTGTCAACCAAGGCCAACAAGGTCCCTGACTCTGCGTCCTTAGGAAGTGGTATGAACACACTCTTGGGTTCTAAACACCATTTCCCACCATTTAAAATTTTTTGCTTTGTTTTTTTAAAAAAAAGGTCAGTTTACTGAAAAAGGAAGGAGACGGGAAAGAGATTTCTGTTCAGATTGTCTCAGGATGGGCTTCAGCTCTAATGTATTTGTCTATTTTCTTTAAAAAAATTTTGTCTTCCTTCTAACCTAAATCTGTAATCCCTCCAACATTACAGAAAGGATTGTCAAATTCTACCTCTTCCCGGTCTTAATTAGCAGCTCTAGCAGCCCTCTGCTCTTCCCTTCCTCCTGGATTCAGTGCCCTGGCTTGCTCAGGAGCCAGTCCTCAACCATGTGTGTTCAAGAAAATGTAACGATATTTTACCATCATAAGGGCATCAAAGGAGCACTGATGTTGCAGTGGCTAAGACGCTTGACTGTGAACTGAAAGGTCTGGGGTTTGACCCCATCGGTTGCTCCATGAAAGAAAAACAAGGCAGTCTGCTTCTGTAAAGATTGCAGCCTTGGAAACCCTGTGGGGCAGGTCTACTCTGTCCTATAGGGTTGCAATGCATTGGAATTGACTTATTCAATGGCAATGGGTTTGGCATCAAACCCATTTGGCACCAGGTCTCTCTAAGATGTCTCTGGTTGGCAGTGTTTTTACTCTGAGTACTCTTGGCAATAACTATAGATGCTTCAGGAACAATGTTGCCTGAGGAGGTTGTCATGTGGCCTTACAGGCCATAGACCACATCAAGGGGTGTTTTGTGTGTGGGTTTTTTTTTTTTTTTTTTTAACTGATTAACTTTAAAAAAAAAATTGCGCTCTGTACATTGGGTATGTGAATTCTCACTGAGAGGAGATCCCTTTGGATACCCCAAAGCCCTCTGTTCTCATCCTAAAAAGCATCTGTCTTGCCTTATTAGGAATCTGGGAACTGAAAAGGGAAGAGATTACCCTGTTGAAGGAACTGGGAAGTGGTCAGTTTGGAGTGGTCCAGCTGGGCAAGTGGAAGGAGAAGTATGACATTGCCGTCAAGATGATCAAGGAAGGCTCCATGTCGGAAGATGAATTCTTCCAGGAGGCCCAGACCATGACGTAAGTTTCATCTGAGGAGTGGAAGCTTAGCCCTCACTATGGGAAGGCATTATCTTGGCATAGCACAAACAGTTGGCACTTGATTGCTAACCGAAAGGTTGGTGGTTTGAAGCCAGCCAGTGGCTCCAAGGAAGAAAGGCCTGGTGATCTACTTCTGTGGGTATTAGAGGGAAGACAACTCCATGGGACACAGTTCTCTATTAACACATGGGGCATAATCGGAATCGACTCAATGGCAACATGTTTGGTTTGTTTGTGTTTATGGGAAGGCATCAGCACTGACAGGCCTGCCCCTAACATTTGTAAGGCCTGGAGAAAGAGTCTACATGTCATAGATATAAATATTTAGCAATTATAAATCGAGCTATCAAACTGCTCAATAAAATTGGTTCTATGCTGCTACTTTGACAAATCTACTTTCATGTTGTTGCTGTTGTTAGGTGCTGTCGAGTTGGCTCTGACTCATAGTGACCCTGTGGACAACAGAACGAAACACTGCCCGGTCCTGCACCAGCCTCACAATCCTTGTTACACCTGAGCCCATAGTTGCAGCCACTGAGTCAATCCATCTCATTGAGGGCCTTCCCCTTTTTCACTGACCCTCCACTTTACCAAGCATGATATCCTTCTCCAGGGAATGGTCCCTTCTGACAATATGACCAAAGTAGGTGAGATGAAGTCTGGCCATTCTCACTTCCAAGAAGCATTCTGGCTGCACTTCTTCCAGGACAGATTTGTTAGTTCTTCTGGCAGTCCATGGTACTTTCAGCACTCTTCGCCAACATCACAACTCAAAAGCATCAACTCTTCTTAGATCTTCCTTATTCATTGTCCAGCTTTCACATGCATATGAGGCGATTGAATTAGCAACCTGGAATGCCTTATTGGAAATTACAATCCTTAAGACTCTAGAGAAACCAGACTTTGGCCCGTGGCCCCCAGACCCCAGGCCACCCGGCTTCCTCCCACCTCCAGCTGCATCTGGCACTAGGTGGGATCGCTGTACTTGCATGCAGACACCACATTCAGTACATAAAAGCCTTCTCTGTGCCCCCTACAGCTAGCTATCTGCTACCCATCTTGACTAAGTATGGGCATACCAATGGTGTGCTCTACTGCCACATCTGGCAAAACCACACAGGTCACAAAACGAAACCACATGAAAGGATTAATGTTTTTTTAAAAGGAATGGGGGCCAGGTGGATGCCCTGCATATTCTGCGAGAGCGACCCCTGATGCCTTTGTTCTACTTTATTTATATGTTTATACATGATTACATCATCACTCTTGGAATCCATACAATCAGCTTATTTTCTACAAAGTTAAAGTTTTACTCCTGTATGTGCTCAAGGACAACAGGTGGTCATTAAAACAATCACAAAAGCCTCCTCAGGGATAAGGAGTATAAAACAATAAATGTTTACTAGAACACAGTGACCCAGAGTATTAAACATCCCAACAAGATAAAAACATGGGCTACTGGAATAACAGCTACTTTTAATACTTGATGTTTTGCCAAGTAAGCATTTAACCGTGAAAGAGGCCTTGCCTTCTCTTGTTGCTGTTGGACATGTGCCTTGCACTCATGTCTTTTGATGATTTCTCTCTTGGTCTCCGACACTCCACTGTTGGGGGCACGGACCTGGGGAAGAGGCTTGGCAGGTTCTGGTGAGGCCGCTGGGCTATGTGGGCAGGGAAACCCAGAGTCCTGGAACCCCAAGGGTGGTCAGTAAGGTGACCTATGGCCTCGTTGCCCTGTGATGAGGGTTAAATGGGGCCCTGCCATGCAGCAGGACAGAAGTCTGGCAGAAACTTCCTAAGGCTCATGGTCTAATCCCCATGTCCTGTGTAACGTTAAAACATATTTTGTCAGTAAAAACCCAAAGCAGTTGCCATTAAGTCGATTCTGATTCATGGTGACCCATGTGTTTCAGAGTAAAATGGTTTCATAGGGTATTCAAAGATGCAACCTTTCGGAAGCAGGTTGGCAGGCCTTTTATCTGAGGCACCTCTAGGTGGGTTCTAACCACCAATCTTTTGCCCTCACAAGGATAATGCTTTCCTATCGTGAGGGCTAAGCTTCCACTTTTGGACTTTTTCCTCTCTGTTCAAGTAGAAGGGAGAAATGAAAACAAAAATCTGAAAGTGATTCTTTTTTAGAACATCTGGAAAACAGAGTACGGAAATTCAGTACTGACATTTGGAAATCTGTTGTTTCCAGGAAACTCAGCCATCCCAAGCTGGTTAAATTCTATGGAGTGTGTTCAAAGAGATATCCCATATATATAGTGACTGAATATATAACCAACGGCTGCTTGCTTAATTACCTGAAGAGCCACGGAAAAGGACTTGAGCCCTGCCAGCTCTTAGAAATGTGCTATGACGTTTGTGAAGGCATGGCCTTCTTGGAGAGCCACCAGTTCATACACCGAGACCTGGTAAGCAACGCCCTCAGAAGCTCAAAAAAAGGAAACAAAGCAGTCCAGGGGCTTGACCTCCAAGGGTGGGGTCATTTGGAGGAGCAGTGAGGGGAACACCTTCACTTTTACTTTGGTCACTTGTGACTTGCTTAAGCACATGACACTTTTGTAATAAAAATCCCAATTTTAACCTAAAACATATAAGTACTGAAAATTAAAGAAGAGAAAGAGTACAAGAAGCCATGGAGCTCCATATAGCTGTGTTGTGCTAGGAAGGAGGAGAGATGAGAAGGAAGGACTTAGGCCAATTGAGTGTTCCTTGAAACCGTTAAATCCAAGTCGACCCTTACTCCCAGAAGGGCTTAATGCTAACGGGTCATTTGATACAATAACTGAAAATATAAACACTAGGAGGAAATGTAATTGGTATGTGTCCCTGCGTCGGGAGGGGAGGAGGGATTATTCTGATTGCTACTCACTGGGATTTCTCTTTAAAGAGTTTCATTTGCTCAACACCAAACATTCCATGCATGTGAGGCGAGTGAATTTCCAAACCCCCTGCAATAGTATTTATGCTTCCAAAGCAAGAGCTTTCAAGAAATGACAGACGGCCGGGCCTCACCTTTCTCAGTGCATCTGTTAATGTGCAGTATCCTAATGGTGGACAGCCAACCCTTAAAAATACTTCATCCTTTCTCACTGATTAACTGAGGCTCCACGTTTGATGCGTAACATCTTCCGTACTGTTGGACAAGGATGGATGTGCGGGTGCAAGTATTTATGGGAGAACATTTCTATTTTGGAAATTTGCACATTGCAAAGGAAAAACAGACAACTTCAGAGCACGTGGGTTGTGACAATCAGATTTCATGAAAAGAGGAGACAAAGATCTCATTCTGATGTCAGGCAGTTCTTGGGCACTTTTAATACTTGGTGGTTTTGTTTTTCCTCCAAAGGCTGCTCGGAACTGCTTGGTTGACAGCGATCTCTCTGTGAAAGTATCTGACTTTGGGATGACAAGGTAAGCAGACTCCAAAGAGGCAACCAATGAAAGAGGGGTTTCCACTAACATCTATATGCCTATCACTGATGCAGACCTTGTGGGGCTATAGAAGGAACTCTGAATTGAGGGTTTAGACATCTGCGTCTCCCCTCACCTCTACTTCTTCTGACTACTTGTGAGGTATGCTTCAACCCATTTCTCCACCTATAAGATAGGCTTGTTCTTCAGAAATCATTGAAAGTCCTTGTCAGTTCTATCAAAACTCTGCTGAGTATTTTCTAAACTTCTGAATATTGTTGTTGTTGTATGCCGTGGAGTTGACTCCCATTCATAGCGACCCTATAGGACAGAGTAGAACTTCCCCATAGGGTTCCCTAGGCTATCAATCTTTACAAGAGCAGATCTCCAGGTCTTTCTCCTGGGGAGCTGCTAGTTAAGTTCCAACTGCCAACCTTTCCATTAGCATCTGAGTGCTTAACTGTTGCACCACAATGGCTCCTTAAACTTTTGAATTAATACTGCTAATTATTCTAAATATGTAAACAGAATATGATACCAAACCAAAAAACTAAATGCACTGCTGTTGAGTTGGATCCGACTCATAGCAACCCCTCCTTATGTTTCCGAGGCAGTATCACTACAGAAGTAGATTGCCCAACCTTCCTTCCGAGGAGTAGCTGCTGGGTTTGAACCAGCAGTCTTCTGGTTAGCAGTCAAATGCCTTAGATGCTATGCCACCAGAGCTCTCATAATATGATACAGCCACATTATTTGGATAAATATGTATTATGCTTATTAATTATAATATGATTTGAATGTAATTATCATAGAAGGCCACCAGTTCAAACCCATCAGCTGCTCCCTGGAAGGAAGATGAGGCAATCTACTTCCTTAAAGATTTACAGCCTTGAAAACCCAATGGGCGTTGCTATGAGTTAGAATTGACTCAATGGCAGTGGGTTGGGTTTGGTATGATTACTATATACACTAAATAATAAACTGTGCAATGACCTGGAGTTAGAAAATCAAAAGGGAAGAACATGATTGGCATTTCTCAAGCTGAAAGAACTGAAGAAAAAATTCAAGCCTGGAATTGCAATGCTGAAGAATTCTATGAGCAAAACATTGCACAATGCAGGAAGCATCAAAAGAAGATAGAAGAAATACACAGAGCCACTGTATCAAAAAATAATTGGTTGATATTCAGCCATTTCAGGAGGTAGCATATGATCAAGAACCGATGATATTGAAGGAAGAAGTCAAAGCTGCACTGAAGGAACTGGTGGAAAACAAGGCTCCAGGAATTGATAGAATATCCACTGAGATGTTTCAACAAACAGATGCAATGCTGGAAGTGCTCACTCATTTATGCCAAGAGAGCTACCTGACCAACTGACTGGAAAAGACCCATATTTGTGCTCATGGAAAAGTGATCCAAATGAATGTGGAAATTACTGAACAATATCATTAATATTACATGCAAGTAAAACTTGCCTGACATAATTCAAAAATGGCTGCAGCAGTGCATTGACAGAGAACTGCCAGAAGTTCAAGCAAGATTCATAAGAGGACAGGGAAAAAAGGATATCATTGCTGATGTCAGACAGATGTTGGCTGAAAGCAAAGAATACCAGAAAGATATTTACCTGTGTTTTATTGACTATGCAAAGGCATTTGACTGTGTGGATCATAAAAAATTATGGATAACACTACGAAGAATGAGAATTCCAGAACACTTAATTGTGCTCATGTGGAATCTGTACATAGACCCAAAGGCAGTCATTCAGACAGAGCAAGGGTATACTGCATGGTTTAAAATCAGGAAGGGAGTGCGTCAGGGTTGTATCCTTTCATCATACTTATTCAATCTGTATGCTGAACAAATAATCTGAGAAGCTGGACTATATGAAGAAGAACACGGCATCAGCGTTGGAGGAAGACTCATTAACAACCTACGAAATACAGATGACACAACCTTGCTTCCTAAAAACAAAGAAGACTTGAAGCACTTAGTGATGAATATCAAAGATTATAGCCTTCAGTATGGATTACATCTCAATATAAAGAAAACAAAAATCCTTACAACTGGACCAATAAGCAACATCATGATAAACAGAGAAAAGATTGAAGTTGTCAAAGATTTCATTTTATTTGGATCCACAATCAATGCCCACAGAAGAAGCAGTCAAGAAATCAAACCGCATATTGCACTAGGTGAATCTGCTGCAAAAGACCTCTTGAAAGTGCTAAACAGCAAAGATGTGTCTTTGAAGACTAAGGTGAGCCCAACTCAAGCCACGGTATTTTCAATTGCCTCATATGCATGTGAAAACTGGACAATGAATAAAGAAGACCGAAGAAGAATTGATGTACTTGAATTGTGTTGGTGAAGAATATGGAATATACCATTAACTGCCAGAAGAATGAACAAATCTGTCTTGGAAGAAGTATAGCTGGAATACTCCTTAGAAGCCAGAATGGCCAGACTTCGTCTCTCGTACATTGGCCATGTTATCAGAAGGAACTGGTCTCTGGAGAAGGGATATCACTCTTGGTAAAATAAAGGATGGGCAAGAAAATGGGAAGACCCTCAATGAGATGGACTGACCCAGTGGCTGCAACAATGGGCTCAAGCATAGCAAGGATTGTGAGGGTGGTGCAGGACGGGGTTGTGTTTTCATTCTCTTGTACATAGGTTTGTTACGAGTTGAGGCCAACTCAATGGCACCTAACAACAACATATACATTATACAAGGAGCCCTGGTGGTGCAACAACTAAGTGCTCATCTACTAACAGACAGGTCAGTGGTTCAGACCCACCAGTGGCTCCATAGAGAAAGACCTGTCCATCTGCTCCAATAAAGATTACAGACTAGAAAACCCTATGAGGCAGTTCTATTCTGTTGCATGAGGTTCCTATGAGTTTAAATAGACTCAACAGCACCTAACAACAACTACATATATCATATAGATTTTAACTCAATCAAGGCTCCTATAGACATTTCTGGGTTTCCTATACTCAAATGGGCAGAGCATTAACACTAAGGAAACTTTTGTTTTCATGTTACTAAATTATCTGTATCACCAAGTAGGACATGAAAGTAGACTCAGATCTCTTGGTGGGCAAGCCTATCACCACTTTTTGATTTGGAAGAATCAGTTCGATTTTGATGGTAGTTTAAAAGAGTTCATTTCTTTGGTTTTGAGTTCTCACACTAATTAGGTCTCAGAGCTATTTCCCATGCTTTTGCACAGGAAATGAACACATGCATATTGCCCTTTCCAGTCAATAAACATTTATTGAGTACCTACTGAGTGCCTAGGCCTTGTGGGAGATGCTGATAGGAATGGAATGTTGCTGACCTCAAAAAGCCCACAGTTTAACCTAGAGGACAAGTAGATGTCCCTGACATTGAGATAAAGTAAAGCTAGAATGTTATGCCTATTCAACATGCTATTGTTGTGAGCTATCAAGTCGGTTCTGTTCACAGTGACACTATTGTTGCTGTGGTTATGTGCCCTCGAGTCGGACCTGACTCATAGTGACCCCTCCTTGGGTTTCTGAGGCAGTATCACTCTGGAAGTAGATTGCCCAACCTTCCTTCCGAGGAGTGGCTGGTGGGTTTGAACCGCCAGCCTTCTGGTTAGCAGTCAAATGCCTTAGGCACTATGCC